CTGAAGCTTGCCGAGCAAGAACTTACCAACACGTGTGGGTGTAATTAACTGTTCTGGCGATGTGGACCAAACTTTGTTCTGTGGCCTTGGGGTATCTTCACTGTCACTAGAGTTGGTGCCGTTAGGGTACGGAGAATCTGGGCGTGTGCTATTGCGTCCAGAAGGATAGTCAATGAAAGGATCATCTTGTCCGGAAACAAGACTCTCCTTGAGGAGAACAGAGTTATTGCCCGCTGAAGGCAAGGGTGCCATCCTTGGGGGAGGAGTAGAAATTATCGCCTCTCTGATTCTAGGAACAGGCTTATGTGTGGGTAAGTAGCCACTTTTCGATTCCCAATGAGCGCGAAAGTACTCTTCCGTCTGGCTTGTCTCCGTGGAGTCGCTGTTGGAATAGTCAAAGCTTGTGTTGGGAGAATTGTCCTCGGGCGAGGGCGGTTGACTAATTGAAAGCCTGGAGAGCCCAGGAGTAGCACCGCTGCATTGAGATTTAGCTGAAAATCTTCAAGGCTTCTACTGACGGAGAGATACTCACATTTGCTGCATAGGCTGCTTTTGCAGATATTGCTCATTAAGATTCGTAATGGACTCTTCATCGTCGAAACAATGGCACAATCCGACCCCTATACGTTGCATGAGTAAAACACATAGCTCCACATCGACTTCAATGGTCAAAATTACCTCGTAAGAATTTACAAGGGATCATCTTGTCTGTTATCTCGTAGTCCGGCCCATAATGTTGCTTAAGCACATCTATGAACATCCGAGCTTCCGCATGCGTGAACCAAACTCCATTTTCTTGACTAAAAATGCATCTGCCGGGGTCGATTCCACGATGGAATGACATTTCCTACAGTGTGCGGAGTCAGTCTCATTGCTTGAAATGTGCAGACGAGTATCTTCATGAGAGATGGGCAAGTGGCGTGGGCGAGCATCAAGGGCAAAATTAAAACGACTGTTCTCGTACTCATGACCCCGACCGAGGCCATTTTAGATGGACTCGATGCAGATCAAAGCACGAAACGAGGGAAACCGCGTGAGAAGAGGAAACAAAAGACAAGACGAGGCGAAGACAGTAGTCTCGTCACGACAGGGCAAGGGGAACGCATTGAATGTGGAAAGAGTATTCAGCTCGCCAAAGAAGGCTCGCACTCTGTTTCCCAGAGAAGGATCCTCCAAGACAAGTAGGGGGGGATTTTTCTTTGAATGTGATGAGAGAGGAAGGGGATGAAGTGAGGTCATCCAAATGCAGCAGGGGATAAAGCAGTTGACAGTAACAATAAGGATCAGAAGACTCACGCTAGTGATTGGCGCTAGTGGCCACGCTAAACTGGAGTTGGCAGTATCGACGTTTTTGTTCTGCGGAATCGGTTGAAAGACGTGGAGTGGTGGGAATGGAAGGGAAAGAGTGAGAACGCAGGAAAGGGCAGAGGGGAGGGCAATTTATAATTTTTCGAGAGTGGGCCAAGGGTTCAGGGCAAGCCAGCTGTATATGAGGGAAAGCCAAGCGCTGAACAATTTGGGAGCCACGCACGCAGTATACAACTGGGCACGAGACTAATAAACCTGGCAAGCTGGGGGAACGGACGCACGAAAGTATTATAGTTTGTGACTGCGGGCCAAAATCCACTGGAGCAGGTTTTATGGAGTGATTGGGCGAGAACAGTGATTGGGCACTCACACGAACGAGAACAGATTACAATCTTCACTTCCCATGCTCACAAACCAAAATGGTATCTGCAACGACATGTACAATGACTTCAATAATAAGGAATCGAAGTGGAGAGATACAGTATATCATCAGTCCAAATCGACAAGTAAGTACTTGATGTCTCACTTAAGAAGAAAACTGTGCATTCTCAGAGGCCCTGTGGGCAAAAGAGAACGGAAATTTTGCTCAATAGTCCAGCATTTACGTCACGGCCCCACATTCCTATTTCCTGAAGAGTATGAGAGATTTAACCATCTTACCCTACATGATATAATCACAGTCCTTTAGTATGTATGTATTGAGGCCTCTTCACGGCCGAGCTTTCACTCAAAAATCAAACTTTACAGTATTTTTCGAGATACTTGTGACAAATGTACGCAATACACCACCTCAAGCGAACTGTGGATCTCATCGTACCCAGGACTGTGGTGACTTCAAAGATCTAGGGAATCATGGTGACTTTGTTCTCGCATTCACCAAGGCCGATATTCACTTCATTTCTCAGCCTGTACATGTTAAAAGATGCATGCGAGTGGCCAGAGGAAGACTTCGAGATTCGACTGTTTATTCGTGAGCCAACGCAGTTCATCATCCCATTCATTTCAAACGTTGAGGCGTTGATTTGATCTTGAGCTCATCAACAAGAAGTCGATTTGGCCCCTAGGCCTGACTGTGCTAACCACAAAGAAGACCCACAGAGCAGCCGGGCGCCGATATGGTTCTAGGAACTCAGGTCGAGTCTCATCCTGATCTACATCATAGCCCTGTGACGTCTGAATCCCACGAATTTCATATTCATAGTCCCCATCACGTACGGGCTTTCAATTTTCAGCTGCCGACTCCAAACCAATCGAGGAAACGTTGTAGAGGCTAGGAAATAGTGGCAAGTTTACCGAGTCCTGTAACCGGGCACCGGGCCTATGATCAACCATCGATATTCTCTCAGAGAAACGACCAGAGCCCCCCTACTATCCTACCTGTATCGGCATATATACTGGCATATATACTCGTTGCTAAGCCTCCAACTCATCGTGGGACACGTGCACGAGAACAGTTGTGGGATGCCGAAATTTTAACGAAAATCCCGCTTCATAAAGCTGCGTCGTGCCTTTAATATTAATAATTATTTATTCTCTATGAATTGTAATTATTTAATCGAACAATATTTGTAGAATTAAAAATATTAATCACATTGAATAATGCTTAAATTTCAAACGTCCCGTAGCTCAGCTGTTCGACATGTACATCCTATACATGTGCTGGATACTGGAGTATCACACCTAATTAAACCTGGCCTCCTTCGATCTGATGGAATCTCTCAAAATCACAGAACGAAATTTGAACTCGTATACGTCTTTCTAGCTCAAGAGGGAAGGGATGTGAAAAGTTATTCCCGTTGACGTCTGTGGGCCCGGGACTAGGTAGTACACGTAATGTGTATTCACGTAGAATTATATATATCACTCGAGTCTGGGGACGAGGCATACCGTAGCTATAGTCTGACGAGAACAGAGGTTATATATCACTAGGGTTAAAATTAAAAGAAAAGCAAATACTTCTACGATGTAATTTAGCAAAGGGAAAATCTGCAAAAACAAAGCCCAATGCGAGGCTCGAACTCGCGACCTTGAGATCACCTAACAGCACCCGAAGGCAGTTATTAAGAGTCACACGCTCTACCGACTGAGCCAACCGGGCAATTGATACCAAATCGAGAGGCAAACACTTATATTGACTAAAACACTGAATTCTATGACGCCCTGTAATTTACTTATAGTGGGGTGCTTTACTCGTTCCAATTGCAACTTCTCGATACAGAATTCAATACAAATCGATAACGTCCACGAGACTACGATAACCACGAGACTAACGATAACTCGAGACTGCGATAACGTCCGAAACAATCACAGAACTCTCCAAGCATCCGTGCATGGGCACATTCCAGCCCTCCATCTTCTTCATTACATATGAAATTGTCCAAACACCCTCCCAAATTTTCAATAACCCAGAGATAACCTTTCAAGCTTCACACGAGACTATAAAGTTTCATTGCAGTAACATCGTTCAAATATCTGGAAAAAAAATCTTCCTTCCCCCCGCAATAGTAGTAGGAGAGCTTGGGACGTCCTTATCCCCGTCCCCGACCTCCTCCGGAATCTCCTTCTTCAGGATCGAGACTTTCTCCTCCTCCTCCTCCTTCTTCTTGTCTCCATTCCCAACTTTAAAGTGCTTCCATCCCTCAACCTCGTACCCCTCCAACGCCCCAAACCAGCTCATATTCTCAAGAAAACTCACCAACACCTGCAAAAACACCGCAACCCGCAAGGCTGAAATCCCACAGCCAATCAACCTCCAATTCACCCCCACAAGCCTCTGATCATATACAGCGTCTGGGTGGAGCTGTTTTGACAGAATCCAACCGATCTTGAAGATGTTGAATAGGATGGAGACGAATGATGATAGTGTTAGGATGCCGATGAGGACGAAGATGGGTTGTGCGATTTGGACGGTGATGGATTTGCTGTATGGGATGGTGGTTGGGGTTGATTGTGGAGATGGGGATGCAAGATCGGAAGTAGTAGTGGTTTCGGAGGTGGAGGTGGAAGTTGGTGAGGCGGAGGTAGGCTTGGGGCCCGATTGGAGGCCTGGCACGAAGGATTTGATCGTTTTTGCAATTATGGGGCCGACGTGGTGAGCCAGACCGAAGAAGAGAAATATGGAAAGCATGATGACCTCGAAGGCCGCCCAGTATTTGTTCATTTTGTGAGGATTCTGTTGTTGATAATTATTGTTCAAAGGAGAATAAGCTTTTTTACGTACGTGATGATAGGCTTATGATGGTAATTGCAATTATTCGAGAGTATTTTCGAAGTCTGATTTTCTGGGAGGAATTGAGTGTTTTCAGGTTTATACAGGATCACAGCAGATGCAAGATTGCGCTCGAAGATTCTTTATAGTCGAATGTCGTCTACTCTACCCACAATATTTCGGGGATTTTGAGACTATTCCCCAAATGGCCATGGCCGTCGAACAAAGAAAACCCGCTACGAGGGCGGCGTTGCACACCAGACTAAATCAAAACTTGATTGTCACCGCATACTGGCACAACTTCAATGGCCCAAACCGGCAAAGGCCATCAGAAGCGCATTTCACGATACTAGAATGTTTCTGCTCTCCCCTCGTTCGAGTTTGGCCATCGGACCTTTCGACCTTTCGTGCAATTCCAAATTAGTTTCCGTGATGCCATTTACGGTACTATGTACGTACAAATGCCCTCAGCGACATATAACATGCTTCCTTGGCTCAGTTGGTAGAGCGTTGGTCTCATAGTCGTCACTATGACACATTCTTTAGAATGTGCAATCCAAAGGTCGTGAGTTCGAGCCTCACAGGGAGCATACCTTTTTGCTGTTTTTTCGTGTGGAATCCAGTTAATTCAGTTACATACATGATTTTTGCTCTCGACTCTCAAGTCAGTTATCAGGGTATAGCCTGTTCTGGTATAGCCTAGATCCGTGAGGGTGTACATAAAAAATACCGAAAAAGGCATTCATTCAAGAAACAGCCGAAATCACCGGAAAAAATTGTCTCAGCTTAAATTGAATTCCCTTCACGTCTTGCCTGGAGTATACAGTTGGCTCGAGAGTAGATATAATTGAGGCTGGATATAACTGCGCATTCATGATCATACAGAACCTGGGAACGAGCTGTTCTCGAGAAGAATATACATAGAATAGAATTTGAATTATAAATCATAGTCCTCCACTGTTCTCGCACTTTAAACCTACATAAACCTCCGCCCACTGGCAGCTAACCCTATTATCAGGATAATAATAAGAACACCCCCTCCCCCCCTCCCCCCTCCTTTCTTGACGAGATCACCCTCTTCCCTTTGGTACACACATACGACCAGAATACAAAACGCAAACGAAACATATTTTTCATCATCGTAATAAACAAAGGAGATTTTTGGTGTGGGTGTGTATGATGCAAGGCAAATTTATCCCCCTTCCTCCTCCTCCGCCTTCCCGGTTACCGAGTACTTCGCGGGTAAAAAAAATGAAGCAAGGAAATACTAAATATAAGAAGAGAAAATGCAAGAGCTCGACTGGATACCTACCTACAAAGATAAATGTGTTTCACAACATAAAAAACAATAAAAAGGAATGCAGATAGGAAGAGAATATGTGGGGAAGAGGGTAAAATATTAGAAAGTAAAAGGGAATGAGAATCGAACCTAATTTTAAGCTTTTTAGAAGGGAAGAAATGAACGAGGGAAAGAAGCTCAAAACAGGAACATAAATAGCAAAGAAGGAAATGAAGAAAGGGAAAAAAACTCATTCCACATCCGATGTTTAGATTTTTTCTTTTTTCAATCCGTCCAGTCATTGTCGTATATGATGCCACTATGGCCTGCCTCCCGATCACCACGATTTATCCTCACTTCAGCTTCCCCCTCATCCTCACCCTCAATCCTACAAAAAGGACTGACCAGAAACCGATCTCCCCTTCTTTTCGGCCTCCTCCCTCATCGTCTTCATCTTTTCCTCCCACAACGCAACCTTCGCAGTCACTAACTTGCCCCTCGGGGGTGCTACAGAGATCTGCGAACCCCCCGACACCGATCCTTCATATTCAGACATCAAAGTCTGCGTGGAAGCCTTATGGCGAAGACTTGGGGGCCTCGAGAATCCAAAAACACCTGGTGTTGGCGGTCTCAAATTAAGGTTTGACGGATGAGGTCTGAGGGTAAGAGTCGATGTTGCAGAAGACCTATCCTCACGGAGAGTGGAAGCTGCGGAAAACCTCGAGCTTGGAGGTGGCATAGTATCTCTGACCCTGGTGCGCTTGATATCAACTGGTTCAGATGTAGCTGCTGGTGAGGCTTTGGTGGCGTTCCTAATCTCTAGTTTCTGTCTGAGATAGCTTACTTCGTGGGACCTTGGACGTTCGGGTAATTTGCGTTTCTCTGGGTTGCCTGAAACAAATTTCTCAAATTCAGAGAGGCTGAGGAGGGTAACTTCGGTTTCCAATTGAGACTTTGTAATCGGGGCTTTGACTTTCTCCTCCATCATTTCGAGTTTCTCTGCCTGTCCGTGAAGGGATGGGTCATACAATGCCGGTGCCTGTGGCATCGTAGACAGATTTGGGAGAGGATGGAGACGCAGGAGCTCTGGTATCTCCACGGGAGTAGGCGGCTTTGCTGGGGACGAGGCTAGCGGCTTTGAGATTGAGGCCCTTTCGGGGTTGTTGTTCTCCGATACGGTTGCTTTCCTGTACGGGGCAAGTGGCAAATTCTTGTCCATCAACTTATATAACGAAGCTTCAAGGCTTGATTTCGCATCCCGTTCTTGCGTGAATTGGAGCTTAGGAGGACTGGAATCAAGTATTGAAGCTCTAAATGGTGAAGTTACGCACCATTGGACAGGGCTGTCGTTGGTGTCTAGACTGTTGACGCTGTACTCCGAAGGGCTGGGGGGCGGAAGAGTATCCTTTGGCGGGTAAGGGGATGGAGGTTCAGATTGAGTAGGCTGGTGTTCAGATTGGGCGATGACTGCTTTCTTCGAGAGGAATGGTGGCGCCGCAGAGCTTTTGACTCTTCGTATCATTTTCAATTTGCCCACATCTCCGGCTTCAATTGCTTCGAGGTGATAACCGCCACTCTGACTCCTTCTGTTGGGAATGACACGTTTAGGAGAAGCAGTGGCCAGTGGTCGAGAGGATGGAGCGGCAGATGTGGCTACAGATGCACTTGCGTGAGAATCAACCGCGGCAGCACGGAGCATATTACCCATTTTCTCTCGCCTTCTCAATCTTCGTACAGCCTCTTCGGCCCTTGGACTTGCATCTTTCTGCTGCACTGTTTTCCCATCAGGACTGACTTGTTTTCCAGTTGGCCGTGAGTGAATCGTTGGAAGGGCTTTGGTAAACTTGTGTTTGGGTCTTGGTGCGGTCGAAGTGTTGACAATAGCGTCTGGGCACCTTGACTCTCTGCCAATAGTAGCCCTCTTTGGTGGCATCAATGCTTCAATCTTCTTCTCAATCTGTGCCTTTAGGGCTTCCTTATCCTTGTCAATCCCCTTCTCTGCATCTTTCTTGTCTGCCCTTCCGTCTACTTCCTCCTTCCCTTCATTTTTCTCCTCAGCAAGGTACAAGGCCTCGAATACTGGTAAACCAAGTCTCTGTGCAGCCAACTTGTCTGCTTCCATGATTGAAAGCTTTTCGTCCTTGGGGGCGGTGACTACAGAGCCACTTTCATTCGGTTCCTTTCTTTCTTGGTCCTCTGCAGCCCGACCTGCTTTCCCGTACCTTGCCTTTTCGTAGACTTCATCGCAGCTTTCAAGGAATGCTTTGAAGTCAGTTGCGCGGGAGGCCCAGCGTTCTTGACTGTCACCTTCGTTCTGTTCCGGGCTTGAGGCGGTAATCTCATCTTTGCAAATTAAAGTTGTTGGAGGGGCTTTCATTGGGTACAGAGAAACTCCACCGGAAACACTAACGCAAGATGCTGAATAGACATCGGAAGGGGAGAGTGGAAGTTGCTGCTCGTCGTTGGGCTCGACCTTGTTGATGTCTTTCTCGTATTCTTGCTTGCAAGGGGCCGAGATGGGCTTATTGCTGTTTCGGGGGCGTCGTGCCCTCTGCGGAGTTACTGGAGGCCATGGGACGCTTGATCCTGCGAACAATGGGGGGGCCGTTGCTGGGGTCATTATTTTTGCACCACCCGTAAGGGTATCTTTCCTTGCCCTTTGTGTTGGTGTTTTTGCCGGGTGTCTGGGGTGTGTGCCTGCTTTCGGGGCACGGGGAGCCGGTGTGGGTGTTTTGGGAGTCAATTGATTTGGAATTGAATAATCCGGGACCTTCAAAGGCAAAAATAGTGCGAAGTTGGCTGACGTTGCGTGAGCTGCTAGATTGTCATCTGTGGGCGAGAAACCAGAAGCTGTTTGGACCGCGGGTTTGATAATCTTAGGCATCCTGATAAATATTTTTATCTGAATGACTGCTGATGATCTGCGGTGAGAGGAACAGCGTGTTGGTGTTGTTTGTGGAGCCGGACTGTCTGAGACTACCGCGAGCACCAGGATAGTCAGAGAGGAGAGAGAGATAGGAGGCCTTCAAGAAAGACCGAATTCCGTACCGTCAAATGATGACAAGTGTCGGTCGTCAATTGATGTGGAAGGGAGGAGAGGCACAAACGGGTGGATTGTGTTCTCGTGCCCAAGCTGGATTGGAACCTTTCTCGTGTCCAGTGACGACTTGGTTTTGTTTTGATTCTTTGAACCGGCGCGACGGTGAAAATTAGCGTTTCTTACTATTCCCAAAATGGAATCAAGTGTGGAGGGCTGATTGCCGAATGAGGAAGTCGTGTCGCCAAGACAACCCCGAAGGCACCTCCAATCTCTTGCCAGGAATCTGCTCATCTATTAGCAAGAAATTTCTGAACGGCAGACCACGAGACTGGGCAGACACCCAAGTTACTACGATAACACAGCTTAGATATTCAAACACAGTTGCCGCAGTTCCCAGATGACGATGGAGCTCGACCCACAAGGATTCTAAAATAATATTTACTGGATCATTAAGTGAGCTCGAAAACCTGTCTCAAACCTAGCCCAGCCCCCAGTCTCCTCGATGCCCGTGGACATATTGACCTGTTGTCCTGTTGCCCTGTCATCTAGTCGAGGGGTTCTATAGAGCTAGCCTCGTCCCCACTGGAGCTGCTTACGATACTGCCGCGTCTCCAGGTAGATGGGTGTTTGGAGAGTCGACAACAACAACAACAACAACAACAACAACAACAACAAGGCTATAGCCACAGATGCCGCGGGAGAACGAGGAGGGCGACGAGCACGAGGATCTGCTTCCGATATGGGTGGCCCCGCGGCGGCTGCGCGTGTCCTCGGCCATCGGGCTGGGCGACTCGCAGGCCTGCCTGGACTCGCTCGCGCACGCCCTTGGCCGCGCGCTGGGGGTCCGCGTGATGCTGCTCCGCGAGCTGGTCGCCGCGCGCATGGCGGCCGTGCGGGACCGCGAGCATGGGGGGGAGCCTGGGGATGGGCCTGGGGGTCATCATGGCGGGGCCGCGGCACGCATCGAGGCCGTGCGAACGAAGCGGAACGAGACCACGCAGAACTACGATCTTTAAAACAGCGAAGCAGATTAAGACGTCTGTCTATAAAGTACACGCGCCGCTTTACCTCCATGAATTAGCCCGGTTGGCTCAGTCGGTAGAGCGTGTGACTCTTAATAACCACCCATCTGGGTGCTGTTAGGTGATCTCAAGGTCGCGAGTTCGAGCCTCGCATTGGGCTTTCTTTTTGCTCCCCTGGCGTCTTCGCTTCGGTTTGACAGCAGTCTCGTGTTCAAAGGTTCGGTTGGTAATCGCTCTTCGACTTTGGCG